GAAAGAAACACTTTTTGATAGTGTATCGTGTGATGGATTGCGAGGATAAGGGAAATTGAAGCTGATGCAATTCTGAGATTGTTTGTGAACATCGGTGCAAATGATTAATTGGTTTAAATTTGTAACCCGGTTTCAACTTTAGTGCCAATGATCTAGTACTGCAATTTGTTTACAAACTGTCGGCAATTTGTTTACAAACTGTCGGTGAATTCTATCTGAAAATGGATTGTGCTGGCATTTAAGAGTTTTAGTTGTTCAAAAGTGAGAATGTTAATCTATTATAGTATTTGAAGTCAAGGTTTCTAGAATAGAATCTTAATTATAAACTGTGATTTAACTGTTTGCTCAACATGAATCAAATTGTTGGCCTTTAGTTGAAATTACCTCATTCATTCATCTGGTGTTTTACTTCAGTGGCCGTTAATTTTATCTTATATAACCTTTATTACACATTTGCTTTATTTAATTTAAAATTGATCACGCTAGAGCCTTGGTTTGGATTTTGCCTAGTGGCTTAACAGATTTTATACTTCCCAAAGCTGGATTGAGTTTTTGTAAGTGTGAGCAAAAATGTGTTGTGTTGTCAATTAATTATTTTTTGGCAAGCTACATTTATTCAATTATGGACCTTTGCCCTTGCCCCTTTCCTTTCATTCCACGCCTATTATTATCATTGCCTATTCATGATTATTCAATTTATTTAGATTTTTTCCTTTATTTTCCTAATCACTGTCAGTGACTCATTTAATGCTTGTTCTGCTGCAGCTCAAGCAAAACATTGAGGAGACTGTAGGTATTGGAAAGGGAGTTACCAAACTCTATGCAACCATTGATCTGGAGAAGGCAAGAGTAGGAAGGACTAGAATTATAGAAAATGAACATACTAATCCCAAATGGTGTGAGTCTTTTCACATTTATTGTGCCCATGTGGCTTCAAATATTATATTCACTGTGAAAGATGATAATCCCATTGGGGCAACTTTAATTGGAAGAGCATATGTGCCTGTTTCTGAGGTCTTGGATGGCCACGAAATAGATAGGTGGGTTGAAATCCTGGACAAGGAGAAAAATCCAATAGAAGAGGGCTCAAAGATCCGTGTGAAGATGCAATATTTTGATGTCACAAAAGACCGCAACTGGGCTAGAGGCATTAGAAGTCCTAAATACCCTGGAGTACCGTATACTTTCTTCTCACAGAGGAAAGGATGTAAGGTATTTCTGTACCAAGATGCTCATGTACCTGATAACTTTGTACCTAAAATAACTCTTGCTGGAGGCAAGAATTATGAGGCTCATAGGTGTTGGGAGGATATATTTGATGCGATCACTAATGCAAAACACTTGATATACATTACTGGCTGGTCCGTTTATACTGAAATTTCCTTGGTAAGGGATTCTAGGCGGCCGAAGCCTGGGGGAGACCAAACACTTGGGGAGCTTCTCAAGCAAAAGGCAAGTGAAGGTGTTAGGGTATTGATGCTCGTTTGGGATGATAGAACATCAGTTGGTTTGTTGAAAAAAGATGGACTGATGGCTACTCACGACGAAGAAACTGCACAGTTCTTCAATGGCACTGATGTGCACTGTGTATTATGTCCCCGCAATCCTGATGACGGTGGGAGCATTGTTCAAGATTTACAAATTTCTACCATGTTTACTCATCACCAGAAGATTGTGGTGGTTGACGGTCCATTGCCAGGTGGAGGAGGGTCAGACAAGCGAAGAATTGTTAGTTTTGTTGGGGGTCTCGACCTCTGCGATGGAAGATACGACACTGCCTTCCACTCACTTTTCAGAACCTTAGACACAGCACACCATGATGATTTTCATCAGCCTAACTTTCCTGGGGCTGCAATCACAAAAGGTGGTCCCCGGGAACCATGGCATGACATCCACTCCCGGGTTGAAGGACCCATAGCTTGGGATGTTTTGTTCAACTTTGAGCAGAGATGGAGAAAGCAAGGTGGGAAGGATTTACTTGTTCAAATGAGAGAGCTTGAAGATGTCATCATTCCTCCATCCCCAGTAACGTTTCCTGAAGATCATGAGACATGGAATGTTCAGTTATTTAGATCTATTGATGGTGGGGCTGCTTTTGGGTTTCCAGATACTCCTGAAGATGCTGCCAGAGCCGGGCTTATTAGTGGGAAGGATAACATCATTGATCGTAGCATTCAAGATGCTTATATTAACGCTATCCGACGTGCCAAGGATTTCATCTATATTGAAAATCAATATTTCCTTGGAAGCTCTTTTGCTTGGAGTGGTGGCGATATTAAGCGTGAAGACATTGGTGCATTGCATATAATCCCAAGGGAACTTTCTCTTAAGATTGTTAGTAAGATTGAAGCTGGGGAAAGGTTCTCCGTGTATGTTGTAGTCCCTATGTGGCCAGAAGGTGTCCCAGAAAGTGCATCAGTTCAGGCAATATTGGACTGGCAAAAGAGAACAATGGAGATGATGTACAAGGACATTACTCAGGCACTCAGGGCCAAGGGAAGTGATGAAGATGCCCGAAACTATTTGACATTCTTCTGCCTTGGAAATAGAGAGGTGAAGAAATCAGGAGAATACGAGCCTGCTGAAAAACCAGATGCTGAATCAGATTATGAGAGAGCTCAAGCAGCCCGGAGATTCATGATTTATGTTCATACCAAGATGATGATTGGTAAGTATGAAAGTTACACTGCTATAGTCTCTGGAAAACAATCTTACAAATAATTTACATTTTCAAGCCATAACATTGTATACTCTCATCATTATTCACCCAATTACTTGTTTTCCCCTTTGCAGTTGACGATGAGTACATAATCATTGGATCTGCCAACATCAACCAGAGGTCAATGGATGGTGCTAGGGACTCTGAGATTGCCATGGGTGCTTATCAGCCCTATCATTTGGCTACAAGACAGCCAGCACGTGGTCAGGTCTATGGTTTCCGCATGTCATTGTGGTATGAGCACCTTGGCATGCTTCATGATTCCTTCCTCAGGCCAGAAAGTGAAGAATGCATTAGTAAGGTGAACCAGATTGCTGACAAATATTGGGATCTGTATTCTAGTGAGTCACTTGAGCGTGACCTTCCCGGTCACCTTCTTCGCTACCCTATTGGGGTTTCTACTGAAGGAGAAGTTACTGAGCTGCCAGGATTTGAATTCTTCCCTGACACCAAGGCTCGCATTCTTGGTGCCAAAGCTGACTACCTCCCCCCTATCCTCACTACTTAGTTTGGCACAAATTTGTGATTGTTCACATCCTAATGTATTTCCATTTCTACATAGTAATAATCTTATTATAGTATGTGATGTCTTGTGAAGAGTTTTTTTTTTTTTTCTATTTTTCTGAAGATGTCAATGACAGATGGTAGTTTTCTGGTGTTGTTGGCTGGCATGGCTATGACTGGTTTCTAATCAATGTTTTCTTTCTGCCATAATGGCATTGTTGTTTTTGTACCTGCTTTCTGGTTTAGCTATTGCCTAACAAAAGTATCATATCCAGATTCATTTTTGGAACATTTGGGTAGTGTAAACTAGTCATGCAAATACAAATTAAAAATGTTTCTGAAGTCTCAAATATGCAATGAATCTGTTTTTAGGTGGTTGTGGGGACATACGTCTCATACTGAAGAAACAAGGAAAATGTTTGGGGTAGGCCTGCCAACGTAGGTCCTACACTGTGGTTCTCTTATATTCTACTCTTAGGTCCTTCAACTTAAGAAATCTCCCAAAAGAGTTTTTAATTAAGAATTGATTGAGAATAAATATAAATATTTTAATATATTTTATTTAAAATTTGGTTAAAATTATTTATATAAATAATAGTTTTTTAAATTTTAAATAATTTTTTTATTTTAAGTAATTCAGATGTCAAATTTATAATAAAATATTTATTTTTATTTCTAAATACAATTTTTATTAGTAATCCCATCGGATATATTCTTAGTCATGAGAAGTAGAACTGTTAAATATCATATGGTCTCTATGAAAGGTATTTTTTATTTCTCTCTAACTTCTACTCTTGTCAACAACAAACTTTGAATAACATATTTGTAATTTTCAAAGTTTAGTAGATAAAATAATGTTTCGAAGACTAGTATCATTAACGTATGATATCAGTTGACAATTTTGATGATGTACTACATGTATCATAATAGTTAGTTTTCAAATTAAAAATAAAAACAAGTCAAAATAAAATAAAATAAAATAGGGATGGAAACTAAATTACCTTGTAACCAAAACTAAATTATTCATTATTTAGTAGGTGTAACACTGGACTTAATTGTTATATTGGTTTTTGAAATCAAAAGAAAAACTTGAAAAAAAAAATGAGAATTCAAATATCTAATAAAAAATAAAAATGATTTCAGTTTTTCTTAGTTTTCACATAAATTAATATAAGTATGAGATACATTTTACTCATATACATTAATATACTAAGGTGCAAACCGTTTCATTGTTTTCTTGAAGTTGTGTTGGTCAACTTCGTCAATTTTGGTGCGCTGAGTTTTAATTGAAGAAAGTCCAAATAATTGTTAGGGTTCTTCGTTCTCGACTACTTCTTCAATAATTCTCCGTCAAACTTATTTTTGGTCAGATATGTATACTTAGAATTTCAATTAAGATAATATTTTTATACTAATAAACTTAAAATTATTTTTTTCACTGAGCATTAATTTGAAAAAAAAATGCAAACTTGAATAATAATAATAATAATAATAATACATAAACACAATTACTATATAATATATTATTTATTCGTCGTAAGTTATCTACCAAACTAAATTATCAAGAACCTATTCTACGTACAAACCCATAAAAATTGAACTATTAATATACACATAAATAAACAATATATAATAAAGAAAGTTGGGCTGGTTCATAAATATGCACACATTTAATATATGCCACATTCTATCAAAAAAATGAACTTGCGATGAAAAATGTTTCCTCTGTTTCAACTTGAAATACAGAATCTACATGAAGAAACACAGGGTGGTGTGATCAGTGACAGCACGCCATTCTCTGAACCCGATCCCTCAAAATCCCATTATACAGAGCAATTCGGTTCGCTTGCATTTCACCATTTTCCGGATTTTCACTTCTGCAATCGTTTCTCAACACAATGTTTTGCTTCCCCTGTTCTTCTTCTCTGTTTTCTTCCTTACTATCTCTTTCCACTTCCTTCACCATCACAATTTTAGCAAACTTCACTTTCTTCTTCTTCTTCTTCCTTTCCCTTTTCTTCTCCTCTGCCAAAAAACAAAACACCAAGTAAATACCACAAATCACAAACAAAATATCTTCATACATATACACTTCTTTTTCTTCTCAGTATTTAACATAATTGAAAAAAAAAAAGTGGGAGAAAAAGGAATTAGATTTAATTTACCGGAGTATATGCAAGAGCGTAGAATTTGTTTGTTGGTATTGGAGGGAATTTGAAATTGGGGGGAAGTTTTGTGTTTGGAGAATGCAAGATAGAGCAGAGTGGTGGAGAGGAGCATGGCTGTGGTGAAGACGAGACCTTGTGAGATGGAAGCCATGTTTGGGGAACAGAGGAAAAGGTTACAACGTTGGTTGTCTTTTGAGGAGAACGAGGAGCAGGGGACTTGTGTTGACTATAAAAGGGGGAGACGTATATATGTTGAAGAGAAAGAGATGGTTGCCCCTTTTCACGAAGCTTCGTCGCTGGTAAGGGAAATATAAATAAAATTAAATTACAAAAATATTATTAGCAGAGGAAAATTTATTATTTTTTAATTACATTATTAGTATGCATGTACGTTGAGAGTTATTCAAGTTAAAACACAATTATGGTTAAAAGGTATATGAATATAAATATGTGTTATTAATTTTATTTCAATAATTAAGATTGAAAACGGTTTGTGAAATTTATTATGTTATATGATTGTTATTACTTTTAAATTTGTTTTAGAAAATAATAAATGTTGTCAATAATAAGTAGAAAAAAATTCAAGATAAAACGTTCAAAATTCATCTTCAATATTTTGTCGAATTCTTTTCTTTATTTCTGTAAGTGATGTAAATATATAACCATTTGTGTCTTTTTGTGAAAATTAAATATTAAATAAACTAATAATATCTCATAAATTATATGGGTTATTATAGCATATCTATTATTTTTTTCTAAAATATTTTAAAAGTTGTAATATAAATAATGTTGGAGAAAATGTAAAATATGTGACATTATCTTCAATAAATCAAATAATTTTTTTTATTTATTTTTGTTTATACACGCATATAACTCCAAAAATTCTCGTAGAATAATAAGAACAATTAAAAGAGTTTTGAATTTTATAATATAACAATAATTATACGTTTAGCTATACGTGGAAATATTTAGTTTATTTAAAATCTAAATTTTGAGGTAATTAACTTTGCTATAATTTTGTGTTGTTGGGACTTGGAATTAGTCAAAGTCAAACAGAAAAAGTCTTCTAGATAAAGTTGTAACTTGAATTGTTGGGTGACAACTACGACTTCATAATCCATACCCATAACATCTAACAAAAATATATAATATTATTTATTTATTTTATACATTAAATGTTTAAAAATACTCATCATATAAAAAATATAAAATTATTTCATTGTGTTTTTAATATTTTAAATTTTTATGACATATTAATAAGCATTGCTAATAATATTTTGGAATACGAACTAAAGAACATTTAATATATAGTTTATTGAATGTTTTTTAATTATTGAAGAAATATTCAATGTTAATACGAAACTTTACGAAAATCATAATTAGCAGTGTCCCAATATTGCCTAATATCTATAGCAAAATTAAGAGCATTAATTATTTTACCCAACTTTTATAAATAAAAAAATGCCCCTATAATCCACTATTCTTCTGTAAACATTTATTTACACGTCTCAATAATTATTTTTCAATATTCTTCATATGAAATTATTTAACAATAATATAAATTATTTACTCATTCAGTTTTTTAATGCTATATAGTTTACATACTTTTCAATAAACCTCACAACTTCGTAGTATTAATTTGTGCTTGATGGTTAATTACTATACATAATTAATAGATAATTAGTGGTATTTTTGTATCCAAATCGATTATTATTGATTCCAAATATGTTACGCGTGTTACGTGAACAAGTATAACAGGTTACAGTACTCGTATTTTGCGACACATGTACGAGGGAATACGTACACGATACGTAATTATTATACTCCTGAAATTAGTACGTGAAAAAACTTAAATTGCTGTACGAATAATTTAAATGTATTTTATACGAAACAATTAACTAACAAACTAATTTTGTAATAGTCAAACATTAACACTATGAGTCCTATTTTGCTTCTTAGAGTAAACATTTTCACATTAGTCAAACATAATAATAATAATAATAATAATAATAATAATAATAATAATAATAATAATAATAATAATAATAATAATAATAATAATAAATTTAAACATTAATTTGATTTTAAATAAATTAATAATGTGAATATTTTAAGAGAATAAAATTAGTATCGCGTAAATTGGTTGCCACACATGTAATTATATCGTGATAATAATAATAATAATAATAAAAAAACAAAACATGTTCAATATCATCAACAATTTTCCAACACTACAAAAGAAAAAAACAAAAAAGGTTTTCCACTTCTATCGTGACATTGTTACATTTTTTTCCCAAATTATCAAGATTCGTTCAAATAGTAATTAATTGAAATAATCGCGTGACAAGTGAAACATAAATTAGGATGTTTTTGTCTAAATCATTGAGGAACTAAAGCGTACTTTTATAAAGCAAAACATGTTAAATGAAATAATATTTTGATGTCATGTTCCTATAAACACATGACAAAAGCACAAGAACAAAACAAATTACAACTACAAACAAATTTAGAGTCATTCTTACAAATGTCAAATTACCTAGTCTTAAATGAATTTTTCATATTTACACCTCGTTACAAAATTTCAATAAAAACAACCTACATAAATTATTTTATATATATTAATCTCTATATGTGAAATAATATTAAATAAATCATACTAATTTTTCTTTTAATGAATTATTTCTAACAAAAATCTAAACAACTTGCATTAAAAATGTAACGAGTAATATATATATATATATATATATATATATATATATATATATATATATATATTATTGTTATTCTAAAATAATACTTTTTTATCTTAAAAAGTAATATTTTAACTACAAAATAAATCTTAAATTAAATAATCAAAATGTTCACATAAATTAATTCTAATCAATGTGTCACATAAATTAATTCTAGTAAGAATTTTAGTAAAAAGACAATTTCTTCACCTTAAAACTCAAGTAACAGTACTTTCAGTTGCCAAACAGTATTTGTTTCATTAAAAAAATGTTTTTTTTTTTTATGATAACTCTAATATACTGTAAAAAATAAATAGGAATTTTCTAATAATTTTTTTAACATGTAAGTGTAGGTATGTAATATAGTCAATTAAATCATAATTTTTAAGTGATTACGAAATTAGTTTATTACAATTCAAGATTAAGATAAGATTTGTAGGAAAAAAAAAGTTAGATAAGAATTTACTATTATTGAAACCCTAATGTTATCTTTTGTCAATAACCTGTTTGACCAAGAAAAACAAACAAAGAAGGAATTAGAAAGAAGGAGAAGTATCCAACAATTATCCAATAACTATCTCGTGTTACTAATCCTAAATCCTAATGCAAAAACCCAACAACTTTACTTCCGTATTCACACCAAACATGATAATTAATTAAAAACAAACATTATTCAATTATTATTTGTTATAATTATAATTAACTAGTATCATAACCCGTGCAACGCACGGGATTTTTGAAATTTTTATATTAATAATAAATAATATTTTAATATTAATAAATTTTTGATATTTTTATATTAATAATAAATAATATTTTAGTATTAATAAAAAAAGAAATGTTATAAATGATAAAATTTTTAAATGAAAAAATTATATTAAAAAAATTGTATAAAAAAAAACTTACAATACAAAATATAGTTGATAAAATGATGTCATTCAAAATTTAAAAAATCACATAATGATTATAATATAATGTAACATATTTGTATAATATGCAATAATAACAAACCAAAATAAATTAGTTTAATAATTTATAAATTATATAATAACATAATGGTTATAATATAATGTAACACATGTGTATAATCTGCAATAATAACAAACCAAAATAAATTAGTATAATAATTTATAAATTTGATATATTGTATAAAAAAGATAAATTTAGTGAGGAATATTGTAAATTTATTTTGCATAATACATATTAATAAAGGAAGAAAAAGAATAAACAATGACAAAATATATAATTTGTAAAATAGTTATATGATTGTGAATAAAATTTACCTATTGTACAATTTTATGGTCATTGAATAAGCATAATTTTAAAGCAATAATTAATATCATAAATCTACATTTTCATAGAGTAAATAATTTAAAAAAATTATAACAAATAAATAAAGTAAACATATAGTTTTTCGTATAATAGTGTACCTTCACATGTTTAGAAGTTTTAAAAAATTTCTTTGTATACTACATTTTTAGTACATGATGTTACATTTCCTTCTTCATCCAATATAAGTATTTTCAGTTCTTTTTTTGTTTGTTTTGACTATAGAAATTGCCACATAAAACTGACCATGAGTGAATACTAGACACGAAAGATAAAGTTCAACTTTAGAGAGTGATTGACCTTGACTCTTATTGATTGTCATTGCAAAACACAATGATAATAGAAATTGTCTTCTTTGAAACTTGAAAGGAAATCCAGGACCAGAAAGAATTAAATTCATTATTGGTTTAAAGATTTTGTCTCCAATATTTTTTCCAGCAATTACAGTAGTTGAAATGAAAAAATCATTCACTTGCAATCTTGTTTGGTTACATAAAACATTTGCTTGATCAATGTTTCTCAATAACATTACGGGAACACCAACTTTTAATCTAAGTCGATGACTTGGAATACCTGAACATTTAATGTCATTAAAAAATTCAAATGTAAATCATTCACCTTGCATTTTCTGATCCTCATCTGATTGACATGGTGTATCAGAACTGAAGTATGTTTTTTCTTCACTAGGAATCAAAGATAAAATAAAATTATTAACTTCCTCAACTACATCAATAGTAGGACAAAATATGACTCCATCATCAAAATTACCAGCATACATCATGTTATGCAAAAAATGAGGATAGGCAAAATTAATTAATGAAAATAAAGGTGTTTCATTGTCTTCAATTAAAAGATCTTTGGGTATGTGAATATGTCCTTCACCATTTTCATTCAAAGGCACATCTCCATCTCCAATCTTTAATATCCAATCAACAAATTCTTTTATATCTTTTGCACTATCATTTGTTTTTGCAATATTTAATCTCATATTTTTTGTAAGCTTTAGAATTTTGCAATTTGTCTATATTTCAGAATATTTTATAGATGATTTCATCACATCATGTCTTGATCCCTTTCTAACATAGATAAAATTTATCTAAAATCACCTCCTAATACAATAACTTTACCACTAAATGATTTATCATGATTATCTATATTTGTTGCTTTCATTATTCAATTATTATTTGTTATAATTATAATTAATATGATATATAGGTAATAACATAACTCTTCCACAAAATGTGTGGAACTTATAATCTTCCATTTTTGGTGAAATATCTATAAAGATATTTTTATACTTAAATCAGTAATGGATATAAAGCGAGTGAACTTCAAAATTATTATTATTTTTTTTTAATATTTATGTGACTGACTAAACGATAGAACCCAAATCTTTTCGACGAGATTAGAAAAACTAATTTGTACTAATTATTCATATTCTTAATTTGATATTTAAAATAAGTTGTTTTATTGAATGATTGAAGATTTGAGAAAACTATCTAAATATCTAAAACATACATTTTATACTAAACTTGTAAGGCAAGGTGACATGGTAGGTATTTTTAATTAAAAATTGAAATTTTCTGTAAGATCCTATACGTTAACAATAAAATAATTAAATTATAAAGGATCGAAATACAATAAAAATGATTATAAAAATTTATATTCTTATAGGATCTCAAAACAAAATTTATATAAATATTATTTTCTTTCCCATCTCTTAATTGTATTCTTTTGTCATGCTTATATATATATATATATATATATATATATATATATATATATATATAACAAATATTTTAGTTAGTGTAAATAAATACAATATTGTTTACTTTCGATAAATATTACCACTACAAATATTACTTCTCAGTTATTAAGAAAACAATTTGCATCTAAAAAATTGTTGTAAATTCAATTTTTTTATTTTTTTATACAAATTAATCACACACTCTATTATATTTATTTGAATTAAAAGTTTTTCTCCGAATTTAGTGCAATATATTATTCTCCAATTTCCTAATCTATATAAAAGTCATGTATTATTCAAGCAATTTGACGAAAAGCATTTGGCACCAATAATGAACAAGAGTTACGAAGCTCTTACTTTAATTTTGATATTTTAATTGTCATTAACCATTCATTTTTGTTTGATGAGTTTGTAACCATTGATTCATCATTCGTTCAGCAGTTATTATAGGTAACTGTTACACGACGATATTTAAAGGATCAGAAAATAAAAATATATTAAAACACAATTATTATTCTTAATAGTAATAATCTCTTATTATTCTTAATAGTAATAACCTCTTATTATTACCTTTTGAATTACTAACAGTTAGCTAAATTGCATTAAAAATTATAAATTTATTAAACTAGACGCTCAAAGAAAAATAAATTATTAAATATTTGTTGCTTAAAATATTCGACCCTTGCGTTATCAACCCTTTTCTATTATTTCAATTGTGAGAAGTGAAGAGAAGAGGACGACCAAGAAGAATCCAAAAGCAATCCCATCTGTGTGTCTGCACATCAGAAGGGAGAGCTATCAAGCTCAAGGTATTGTTTTTTTTCTTCTACTTTTATTTTTTTTATGCATTTTCTTTCTCTTGATTTTTTAAATCTTTGCGTTCTGATTGAATTGTTAGGATTGCTCTGGAATCGGTTTCGTCTTCTTCGTTTTTCATCGAAATCCTCGTGGCAGATCTAATCTAATCAGGCTTTTGGGGTGTTTCAGACATTGCATGCATATGGGGTATGTTTTTTGAATCCAACCATAGCTGGAAAAAAGTTGACTCCTTTTTCCCCTTCCCTGCAATTAACTTTTATGCTTTTATGGGTATAGGTTTTTTTTCCCTATATTGAATGATAATCATGTGCCAGGATGATAAAGTTATTCCTTTATCTCTCTTTATTTACACGGTTGTCTAGAAAATTGATGTCAAGGTTTTAAGATAGGTCATGGATTTCAATGCCAGCATTTCTGTTTTGGGAGTAGAGCATGTATATGTATAGTGGTCGAATTTGTCAATAAATTACCGTAGTTTTTTTTTTTTTTTTGGATTAAAGTGGCTGGATTGCAGTGCGTGTTAATCATTTGCATTTTGTGACTACTCAAACATGATTGGTTCTTGTAGAGTATACCTTTATTCTCTTGACATAAAGATTGCATATTTTTTGCTATAAACTTGAAGTGTCTGAATTATGATGGCTATTTTAGACAATCATATCATTATAATGTGGTGCATAACCGAAATTAATGTTATTGTAACAGAGCAGTGGTTGTGTTGGATGCTATAAAAGGCCTACACTGAGTACTACAGTGGATGTGCCATCAAAAGGAGTGGCCAAAAAAGGTAACTCGGTGAAGAAACTTAGTTCATCCGAGGATTTCTGGACCACCAGCACGCATGATATGGACAACAGTGCCGTCCAGTCACAGGGAAGCATTTCTTCAGCCAGCCTAACAAACCAAACTGTGGTTCCTCATGCTAGTTCTTCCAAAAACAGCAGCAACCCCACTGAATTTGTAAATCATGGTATGGTATTTTTCATTGCTTTTGTTGTGCAGATATTTACCACATAAAATTTCGTGTTTTGACATGTTTTTTTTGTAATTTAATTAAAATGAGAAAAAGAAATTGTATGACCTTACACTGTGCAAGTTGAAATCATCCAACTCCTATTTGGTGGATTGAACAATGACAAACTCTATTTTAAACACGTTTAAAGCTAACGCATGTTGTGTGTCTGATCGTGGCTGCGTTATGTAATGATAAAATTAACTGATATCTCCATAATGCAGTTACTTCATTTCCTTTTTAGGGCATGACCATTTTTGGTGTACTCTTTGACAACATATATCTGATGCATGTTGCTGCTCAGTTAAGAAATGCAGTTTGACTAGCACTGTCCTCATACACTTTCCTTTTGGGCCACACACATTAATGAAATACTGTTAACTTACCTCTTTTCCTATTGATATGCCTTTTTACCCACTGAATCTTCCGATCTAATACCGGTTAACGAGATTTTGTTAGATATGTTAGCGGTGCAACCGTATTTTAATTTGCAAGTGAATTTATGGTTATATTCTGGTTGCAGGTCTAATTCTTTGGAATCAGACTCGGCAACGCTGGGTTGGAAATAAAAAGTCTGAAAATCGAACACAGCAATTACAAGAACCTAAATTGAGGTAACTTACATTGCTTGGCTAATCTATTGGAACCTTTTTTTTTTTTTTTAATTGCCTTTGTGTTAGGATTGATGCAAATCCATTTTTCTATGAGTTTTTATTACTTCCTTTTCCTTGTCCAAGTTTCATATTCTATTTGACTTTGTGGTTATACTGTTAAACATTTGCTCTTGATGATAATATTGAAAGGGGTCTGCTCAGCCAGCCACCCTGCTATTGATTGGGAGAAATTAATTTACTCCATATTAATGCTCATAGCTAAATAACTAGAAGACCAATTGTATAGCCTTGATGAAGAATGTCCGAATGACTCGTGTAAGTTTAATCCATGGTGCAGAGCTATGCCATTGCTGCCACGTTATAACTAGTGCATGATAAGGAACTTAGGTTATATTTGAATTATAGGCTTGATCAGTTCTACATGCTAATTTCTTTCATGATGGTATGGTGTATAACAAAACTGTTGAAATTGGGTAATAAGATTTCCATACACTGCTGTCGATGAACTTCTTTTCTGTCAGTAATTATGAATTTCTTTCCCTTTTTTCCCTATCTTGTCAGAACTTATTGTCTGTGCCTTGGCAAAATTTATTGGCCTTGCAGTTGGAATGCAACATATGAAAGTTTACTTGGCAGCAACAAGCCTTTCCGTCAGCCTATCCCTCTTACTGTAAGCATCTCCTTCTAAAGAACCATGATGCAGTAGTTTCAAGTAAAAAAATGATTATCTGATGATCTTGTCATATGAATACTGATAGGAAATGGTAGATTTTCTTGTGGACATCTGGGAGCAGGATGGCCTATACGACTGAGATGTTGAAGCTTTAGCTGCTGAAAATAATTATAGTTCTTGCTTTGTAGGAAGGACTATTGGGCATATACTGCAGTTTGTATATCAGTTCTCACATGCCTATGAATATGATGAGGAAAATTTCTCTCTTTGGCACATGAGATAACTTATATACTTTATTTAATTGATTGCCTTGGCTAACTCTACTATCTCATGAGCCAAGTTTTGGAAAACTATTGCCCTTGTTGATACCATGCTGCATGAGTGGCTGCTACTTTCATTTGCTCTGACTTTCGGTCTAAATAGGCCCAATTTTGCATATTGGTCAATTTATTGATATATAGTTTCTGATTTGGTTCCATACCCGTTAAACTTGAAGTTTTAAAATCACCGTTGCTTGCAGCAATCTTTATCTTTATGCTACTGGTAAGGTATAGATAAATTCCAGGACTCGAATTTTATTTTGAGTTTTTAGTAATTTTTTTAATTATATATTTAATAAATTATAAAATTTGTGTTTAACTTTGTAAAAAATATTTATTATATTTTGTTTTTTAATTATTATATTGACTTTTTTAATTGATTCTTGAAACATTTTAAATTTCTCTTCAATGGTCATGTATATTAGGATTGACTCAGGCAACAGAAAATGTAAACAAGCTATATGAAATTTAAATTAAAGTGTTTAATTTATCAGTACTGAAAAAAAAATGATTCGATATTCTTAATGGTGTGATTGTATTTTTTTGGTGAAACGTTGAATGTTTATTCTGATGAAATGGGTAGTTTAACCTAGATTTCAGTTCACTGGGTATTCCCATTCCCACCTTCAAATAAAAATTTCTCCTATGTCACAATCATTGTCCATTTTGTTTTGGTTCATTAATATAATGTTGCATATTCTGATATTCTCTTTATTTAACTTTTCAGTAATTATATGTCCTCTTACAAATTCTCCTTCTATTTTATAAATCTACCTTTTACTTAATAAATATTTTTTTAATAAAAAGGTAAATAAATATATAATAATCCTTAAAAATATAAAAATGCAATATTTATCATAAAAAAAGAAAGGTGTAGTCATGATAGGATAGACTTATTTTGGCAAAAATTATACGGTACCAATCAAATCCTTCTCTGGCCATGATTCCATGAAACTGTGTGCTTAACGTAAATGCATTAAGAATTTGGGCCTGACCCTTGAGACCAATTCTTCTGGACCCTATGGTAATTCATGAAGTCCAGAACTGGGTAAAAAAGAAAAGAAGAGATCGGAGACATTAAGAAGATGCTGACAGGTACATGTATGATTATTTTATCTGGAATACTCTTGTGAATGGTATCATGTAAAGTCTGAGAAAGAACTAGAACTCTCCAAGAATATCACTTCTCAAATTACATTACATATGCATCCTTAATATCCTAGAATGTCTTGGACACTTCTCTAAGCATCCAAAGTTTAAAAAAAAGTAAAAAACCGGCATCAACCTCATGCTATATATTTAAGGTTTCTCAGTTCCTTCAACTATCAGCCAAAAACAAACAGGCAAAGAGAAACAAGCAGCATTTCAACATCAAGGTTGTATGGCTTTGGCACGTTTGGCTTTGAAAAATTTGCATCAAAGAGTGTGTGCTTCTTCTTCCTTGACTGGCCATGGTTGTAGTGGTGTGAACAAGCAGAGGTGGAACAATGAATTGCTCAAAAGGTTTGCCACCGCAGCAGGGGATAAAGGAAAATCTGAAGGCACTGAAATTGCTGTCACTGAAGGGAAAAAGTCTAATAGATTGTTCCCCAGGAGGAGGGGCAGAAGATGGATTTGGAGAAACAACAATCGTGACTTCTCTCCTGCCCTTTATGGTACTCTCTCACTCTACTTTTCCATGCTTTCTAATTTCACTTAACAACCTTTAGTTATAGCTACACATTCAGAATGAGTTTTAATTTCAATTGTAAAATCAAAGGGAATCAACTTCATAACATTCAAAACCCAACAAAGAGGAGAAACAGTACGCATTACTTTTATTTATAGATAGAGAATGGATTAAATTCTAGAAACAATATGTTTTTCATTTAATCAGAGTAATTGAATGAATTTGATATTTGACTTGATTCTAACTCATAAAAGAAATTACATCAATAGATAAGTAGTAACTAATTGATGATAATTAAGATGCTGGTGATGGTCTGAAATGTAAGGTTTTTGTGATGAAAAACAGAAGCTTACAAGTTGTGTTTGGTTGTCAGAGTTCTTTCCTTCAGGGCTTGGGAACGCACTGATGCAGGCAACTGAGAACATCAACAGGGTGTTTGAGAGCATGAACCTGACACCTTGGTCTCTGAGTGGTAGTGTGAAAGAGAGGGATGACCATTACAAACTAAGGTATGAGATGCCAGGGATGGCAAAAGAGGAGGTGAAGATCACCATTGATGATGGGGTGTTGACAATAAAGGGAGAACACAAGGAAGAGAAAGAGGAAGGTGAGGATGATGAGCATTGGTCATCAAGTAGCTATGGATACTACAACACAAGCTTGGTTTTGCCTGATGATGCCAAAGCTGATGATATCAAGGCAGAGTTAAAGGACGGTGTCCTAACTGTTACCATTCCTAGGACTGAGAAGCCCAAAAAGGATGTAAAACAAGTCACAGTAGAATGAACGATGCTGGGGTCTTACTAATAGGGGTGTGGTTATTGAGTAAAACTTTGTCAATGTGGACAACCTGTGGCTTTGTGACTTGTGTGTGTGTTTTTATTTTGGACTAACTATGTAAAGATCAAATAAAACTTTTGGACCTGTGAAAAATAATTTCAATACCTTATCCTCTCCTGCTGATGATTTTGTGTTCTTTCCATAATGAAATCTTTTATTTATTAGAATTACTAAAACATAACTTTGTAGATTTGGTTTAATGTGTTATCATATTCCAACTTTTCAACAATACAATGTATGTTGTTATTCAAATTGTACACTGAGACTTTTCCAACAATATAATGTATGTTGTTATTCAAAAATATATATTATTCAAATTGTATACTGAGAGACTCTTCCAACAATATAATATATGTTGTTATTTTGTTCGATTTAGAATAGTTTAAGTTTCATGTGAAAAAATAGATTTAGGAATGCATTTCTAAAAACAAAAAAATCAACAAAATATATTTTTGAAATTAATTTTTTATGTTAATTTTTAAAAATATATTATAAATTAATGGTTCTGAAATATATTTTTAGAATTTAAATTTTAGATGTGTATTTTGAACTCATCCACTTAAAATATTTCTTAAAAATTAATTTAAAAATATATTTTAAAATCCACTCTTTCAAATTGTATTCCTAATTTTTGGAACATGTTTGTGCAGATAATGTATGTGGTATAAATTAAAAATAATTGAAAATTCTTATATGTTTCTAACATAATAATAGAAGAATGAAGAATAAGAATACTTTAAAAATCAGTTAAAGGTTAAAGATAAAAAATAATGAAGATAAAAAATAAGAATACTTCAATGAGATTTAAAAATCAGATATTCAAATGTTAAAGATAAAAAATAATGAAAATAAAGATAAATAAAAACATAAAATAAAATAAAATTTAATTATGGAAAAGTCGAATAAATTTTTTTCTAAATTTATCAAGAAACTTTGTGGATGGTAGAAATAGACTCATCGCTGAATGGGTTGAAGCCCATTAGTTGACCTAGTTTCTAAGTACTTTAAAAATACACTTGGGCTTAGATCAATAAAAAGCAGAGTTGAGAGGCATTCACAATAAAACTTCGGCCTGGTAAAGTAAAATAGGCTCTAGGCATACAAGTTTATTGTCCATTTTTCGTTCAAAGAAGAGTTTTCACTGTAACTCATATAAAAGTGTAAAAGTTAAGAAGAATGTTTCAGAATAATATATCGTTACTCATTAATTTTATAAAAATTATAACACAAGCTCTGAGACATTGTTTTCTGACAGCACAAAAGCTGCAACTTGGTGTCCCTGTCTGGTAGTAATTGGGAAACTTTCCATCAACTAGTTTTATAAAAAAATGAAAATTTTGATTAACAGATGCATAAATATACACATGACGTTACAAAATCATTAAATTCTTACATACTAATGTTGTGTTATCTATCTTACCTTTATTTTTAAAATATTGAATAGTATTTGATGTATAACAGTATTTTGCGTGTTTTTTTTTTTTTTCAGGTCCAACCATGTTGAAAGACCCTTTTTCATGTACTAAAAGTAAATAATTCTCTTTTCACAAACTTTGTGAATTATGGACCCGCCCGATTAGAATGCAGCCTCAAAATCCGGGATATGTTCTATTGGGCCAGTGACCCACTTTCTCCCGTGTCCCTTCCCTTATCAGTGCAGGTAAAATAATGCCCTACAATACAAGGACAAGGATGAATAATAATAATAATAATTGCACAAGCATGAAGTTAAAAAATAAAAAACCTAACCTTTGAATGAAGAAGAAAAAGGTGGATCAGGTGAAGTGGTGTAGAATGAAAAGACTGGACAATGAAAAGAGGAGGAGAAAGAAGAAATCAGATGTGTACGTAATGCGATGATGACGTGATTGTTTTCATCTCCACAGTTACTTGCAGTGCAGTGCTGTACAGTATGCAAACATGAGACTGTTTATGACTCTTGCTTTTTTATACGTGGACCCTCAACAATGGGAACAGTAGGATCTGAGAATAAGTCACTCCTATCCGTTGGATTCCTCCTCTTTATAAACAAAGCCTCGTGATTGAGACCTTGTGTGGATGTACTTTCTCCCATATTTTGGGACATTGTGCATTACATTCTATTACAGTTAAGTAAGTCTTCAGAATAGTTTAATATCTTCGAAACTTTTATAAATCCTATTGAAAAACAATGTTTCAGTCAGTGCTTGACATTGTCAACAGTGTATAAAAGAGTAAAAGTCAAATTAGAAAGTAAATAAATTGGTTTATGAATGTGTCTTGGAAGAAAGGACAAAGGTGGTTCCACGATCACCATGCATCACTGTTGATCAATAGTCATAGCAGTTTCTTTCTTCTTTCTTCGGGAAAGGAGTTTGGTGTTTTCGAAAGTTGTTGAATTTTCTTTGGTTTGTTCAAGACACTGAAAAAGTTGATTTATGGAGAAGATGTGGGGGTAAAAACTGAAAATGTATACTACCCCTTATCCCATATCAAGCAAGTTTTAGACCTGCATATTGTCAGCACAAACAGTATATCTTAACACTTTGTCAGATCTAGAAGGAGATCGTATTTTGAGACAAGTGAGTTTGTGGTAACATGTGCTATTTGGCTTGTAATTTGCAACTATAGTTCATTAAGAATGTGATTTACACACTATATGAAGGTTTTAATTATCAGTCACAACAACAAGAGTTCTATTGTGTGCAGTCCAAAAAATCACTTTTAAGTTAATTCAAGCACATGATTAGAAGTAATTTAGAAAATGTTGTTTTGGAAATGATAAGAAAAAATTAAGTATAGAGATTTGAACATGGAGAAAGTATATAAATAAAATGAAAATTAATTTGGGGGCAGGTAGGTAATTTAATGGCTAACAGTAGAAGGTTTGATAAAGCCAAGGCTGAGGAGAAGAGAGGGGGGAGGGGTCATGTCATATTCGTTTTTGTTAATCTCAGTCAGTCAATATTCATTGTGAATCCAAAATCTGTTCCCAAATTCCCAAAAAGACCGAAACAAGTCACTCCCACTGTGTGGTTTTCACTTTCATTGGTGAACAAGCCATGGAATCAGACCACTGTCTCTCCCATAGGAAACATCCCTCAACTATGTCTAACACATTTATATCTCTTTTTTTCTTCTATCCACATACTGATATAATTTCATACACCAACACCACCCTACAAGTCACTTTCACTGCTTCTTCCTTTCCTCATTCTTTCCTCAACACTTCTCCACTGCGACTAATTGCATCAAAGTCCAACACAACACACGTCAAAGCTCCCCTCCTAGACCCATCACTGCTGATGGCTCCACCTGCTAGATCCTATCCTCTACATGGACTCAAATTTCCAATCACTGTGCTTTTCATCTTTTTCCTCTCCTTTCTACCTTCCAAATCTGGTAAAAATCCTCCACCACCCTCATACCCTATTTAAGTGAACAACTGTTTCAACCTTCTGTTGGGTAGAGTACTTGCACAATTCCATATATCTGGCTCTTTCATACACACACCATTTTGATATATACATAGTTTCCCCTTTTTTGGTTTATTTCAAAATTTTAAACTTAATCAGATATTTAAATATTCATATTATTTTTTTATTCTTTTTCTGTGCTTGCCATCTCTTTCTGTTTGGACTAGCTATGTCATTCTCAGTGCTCTTACATACAAATAGGGTATCCTTTTGAGGTTTAATAAACATTACTTTTGTTATGCAGGTGGGTCACTGATGTTGGACACAAGGGAGGGTTTAGAGCAAAGTAAAACGGTGATAGGGTCAAAGCCTCCTGAGTGTGTGAACAAGTGCAAGAGTTGTAGGCCTTGCATGGCTACTCTGGTCGTTCCAAATCACCAAAAGAGGAAGAAAGGTTTCAAAGTGTCTTCTCGTGGGGATGATGATACCTATTATCTTCTTTCATGGAAATGCAAATGTGGTGATAAGCTGTTTCAACCATAATTCATCTTAGTTCTACCCATTAGTTTTTCACCATTAACTTCTGTATATGTATCAAAAAAAAAAAAAGAAGAAGAAGAAAGAATCCAGCTTCTGCTAGAGCCTATGTTTGGCTATCTGTCATCTAGATGTTAAAAATTGGTGGAGGTGTCTTGAGCTTGTTTTCATATCAGTCATTCCAAATATAATCCAATTATATGTTAATTATTATTAGTCTTAGCTTGTATAGCTCATCGCTTAATTTTATACCAAAATTAAGCATTTTATGGTAAAGGTGAAACCCTAATTATTTATTTTTAATATTTTTCTTAATACTTAATAACAACCATTATATAAAAAGTATATATATATATATATATACACACACACGCAGACCCTGTCCCTCAATAGTATGTATCTAATTATTCAGAATAATTTGTTCTAAATTAAAAAAATAATTATTTCATCCCAAAAGCTAAATTAACAGTTTTTTTTTTGTTTGAATCTCGGACAATCAGCAAAATTATATTAATTTTGAAAAAGAGTTTTATGAAGCACAGAGTGACTCAAATCAACATAGTCTGGTCAGGTGTGGTAACTTGAACACCATTAAAGCGACTCGTTGAATAGGATTTAAATTTAATGCATTCAACTCCAAAACCCAAAGAAAACCAAACTCACTGTACTTTTACATGTCAATCAATTTAAAGATAATTAATTAAATATATTAAAAGTTACTAATTTGTTAATGGAGCCCATTTGTGATGTTAATTGACTACCCAAGCCCATGATGCAAATGAAGCCCAATATCTGATCCATTGGGTTGGGTATGAGCCCAATAAGCCAGCGTATAAGTCAGCAATACTTAATCCTGGATATGGATCAGTCATTCTGGTTAAACTTGAAATGAAATGCCTCCAAATGACTCTTCTCTCAGTCACCACCGCAAATTCCTTGAAGCTCTTTCTCTTACGCACTCGCAATCCTTCTCACGCTTTCTCCTTCTCTCCCCACCGTCAATTCCAACCACTTTCGTTCCCCTCCGCCGTGCTCCGTCGTCTTCCCCCGTGCCGCGCCGCCTCCCCTGGTCCTCCGCTCCCACCTTCCGATAACGATTCAAGGCACCTTAAAGGTTTCATCCTTCGAATATTTTTATGTTCAATTGCATTAGTTTCCGTGCTTCGGTTTAGATTTACTTATTTATCATATATGAAGTGTATTACCATTGTTCCATCGTTGGAATTTTCTTTTCTCTTATGTCCCGTGCCTGAGTAGTTAGTGTAGTAATTGACGTGTCCTTTGGTTCGAATTGAGAGGGGTAAACAGTAATATGAAAGTTTAAGGAGGAATTTAGATAGACACGTGAAATGAATTTGTTTTCTGTTTTCAGTAGCTAGTTTTAATTTTTGATGGAAGATGGATGGAGTTGGGTCACGTGGTAATTTCGCAGCTAGGGACACAAAAGAACTTCGATATTCATGAATTGTTTGAGCTCAACCTGATAATTGATCAATCAAATTTTTTTTTTCCTTCTAGTTTAACAACCAAGCTCAGTACGTCTGACAATAATAGTGTGCAATTCTTTTTGTGTTGGTCTGTGCTTGCAAAATATCGCAGTTGTCTCTATTTGTGGATATTTTGAAGATATTTGCTGTTGTGGGGGGGGGGGCAGGTTTAAGAAAATCTGACTACTATTTCTTCTTCTTGTGAATAAATCTTTGTTTTTGACTCATAATGTTATCTTCAAACTCATCCCAGGAAACAGTTTGTTGTTTTAAAGGTGCGTAGTTAACCATCTAAATAGTTAGGGGCAAGAAACTAAAGTAGATAATATATGCTATTTGAAATCATCTGTTGTCTGCTGTTGCATTGAATTATGTTTATATACATTTAGTTTGTCATGATTCTCTTATAAAAGCCCCTTTATTATTGCAACCATTCTTGTATTGTGTTGATCTTTATTCCACAGCATTTTTTAGTCTTGAATCAGAACACATACTATGTTTGCTTTGCGTTATGGAAGGAATTTTTTTGGCTACTCTTGCACATTTTCTCAATGTTATACTTGCCTTTGAGTTTTAATTGGATAAGGATGCTATAATTTTTTTATTTAAAATTTATCATATGCTCAATTTCTATCATTTATGCTTTGATATGGTGTTTATTTTTTCTTTAGCAAGGTACAGCCTTTCGGTATTGACTTTACTTCTTTTTTTTTTCAGCTGCGGATGTTGGTGCATCTTTATCCAAAATTCAAGACAGAATACAGATCTTCTTTGCTGTTCTTTTCTGGTTGTCTCTATTCTTTTGGGCTTCTGCCTGGGATGGGAGGAATAGACCAAACAAGGGATCAAGATTTAGAAGATAAAATTGTAAGCCTTTTAATTTGTATATATGGAACATATAGTCGTAGTGGGACAGAATTATACAGCAAATGAAAAAAATTATGCAACTGTGTCGAATGATTGTTATTCTCCATTAAGTGTTCTCGTGCCGAGATTACTCCTGTCAGAAGTAGCTTATGATTAACCTCTCTGTTCTCCTTTTCCTTTCAAGTGCTTTACCAGGTAACAAGATATCTAAAATTTGAAAATATCTTCAAATTTTGAATGTCTTGAATCAGCACTGAAGTTTGGAGTTTCTTTTAGACCAAGACAGTAGAGGAAATTTACAAAATTATTTCGAGTCTTTGTATTAAAAATTATTCACGTATAATTGGTTGAAATAGAGATCCCAATATGATATTGGATAGATAATGAATTATTCAACATATTGTTGAAATCCAAAGTTCAGTGATTTAACATATGTCTTTTAAGAGACGGTCCTAAACTCTAAGGTGATGTTTTCGTGTAAGAATCTGTATAAATACTGGAATTTATTTTTTAATAAAATATATTTTTTTACTGGATAGAGTTGGATTTTTTTATTATATAAGTTCAGGATGAATCTAGATTTTTTGATACATTTTTTTAACGGATTAGTAATTTAGTTTGAACTAATTACTTTTAAATTCATTCAATCCATTTCTCTGCCACCAGTAGTTATAAACTTTTAGGTCCCGGTAGGCATAAGTTAAGGTTAGTTTGTAGAAGCAATTTCCCTTTATTGTAGATGTCAATGTAAACTCGTGTTCTGTTTGTTTTTGTGTAATTACGATGATGGAGATTGCGTAAATCAATATCCTGATGCTAGTTTTATGCCAACTAGAAAGTTGAAGGCGAGTTAAATTAAAATAAAAAATTTATAACGTTGTGTCATTATTCCGAAAAACTGAAATTCTGAGAATTTATATGAACTTAACTCCTTTTGCATCGTAAATGACTGGTACGAATGCAACTTTTTAATTCAAGTACAATGTATGGTGGGGTCTCGCAGATTACTTGCTATCCATTTCAGCCTGAGACAAGAACCTTAAAGATGTTTAATTGTATCTCTGTTTCTCTGGTCTTGTTGGAAGGACAAGTGTTATCTTTCATTTCATGGTGAATGATGTCTTTCCATTCCGCCGAAACCATGGTCCATGAAACCCTGAAAGAATAAATGAATGGAGGTCTGTTATTTTGAAACCTGAGATATTCTTTAAGATGTTTTCTTGTTTTGCCTGAGCAAGCTGGTATGGTCTGTGGAAAAGGAAGTGCCGTTTTTAGAGTTAACATTATTCTTTTGTGGATGGTCGAACAAAGAATTGATATTTTTGCACAGACCGTTGTTGCGTGTAGATTATCTTATTTGCAATTTTTCATTCATGGGTTCACTTCTCAGGGGCAATGAACGAAAACGACATATTTTGTTGTCTTTCTTTTCTGACCGTAGCACTCGAACAAATGGAGACGAAGATTGTTGTCGTCACCTAATTGGATCAAAGACGAGTCATTACTTTAAAGAAAAAAAAAAATCAATCTCCGTTTTCATAAAAAGCCTCCAGATTTTCTATCATGGTTGACATATCATTGTACTTTGGGTAAATATGCAGTCCATCTATTTGAAATTTCTAATATTAAATGTTTTTTTATGATTCGAATATGTCAAAATCGTACATATTTAATTCAATTTATTTTTAATTGTAATATTCATATATAAAATTTGTTATCTCTCATAAGTTTTTATTCATTATTATTGATAAGAATTTGAAAAACATGTTTAAATTTTAGAGGGATAAAATATTTTGAAAAATGATTAGATGATATATTTAATATATTTGAAATTTACTTGATGACAAATTCTCATTGTTTAGATTCTTGTGAAGATGTCTCTCAGAGGTTGAGGAATTGGTCTCACATGTTGACAGCGGATATCTACCTTAAGTGTCAATGATACAATAATTTTGACACAAATATGATGAAATGCGTCTAGGCTTTCTTCTTATTCTTGTCTTTTAGATGTAAAGTTGGTTGAAAGAAATTAAAAAACGACCAAGGCATCCAAAATTGTACCAATTACCAAAGTATTCCAAGGACTAGTTCAGTGGAAGGAGTTAGTTTTGACATCTGGTGGAAACTTTAATAGTAGTTTTCGCACCAAAAAGAAAATGGCAGTTCACAGTTGCGATGTTTTACCAAGTAGAAGCAAGAATTTCACGTGCCCTGTCGCTTCCACTTTCCGTTGGTACATTATTAGCAAACGCCATATGCCGACAAAAAACGCCCATGGTGCCCAGAAGCAGGTGTTCATATGTGGTTGGTCTCAATTGGGGAAGGCTGAGGCTGGATGGCGATACAAAAGTAATTGCTGTCCGTTGAATTTTGTAACTTTCAGCAAAACAAAAATGGCAACTTGGGTCCCCCCAACTCGTGTCATGCAATCTACACTCACTGCATAGGTTGTAGTCTACCACTTGCATTTCCATTTTCTAAATTCCTAACTCGGGATTGGACAACAGATTCCTCTGATAAGAAATAATGTCTAGTGATAATTGTTATATAAAGACTTGCTTGTTTCTTACATTCTATTCCATATCACTTTCTTTTCTACTGTTTCTCCTTCCTTTTGCAGTTTAGTACTTTTCTTTTACTTTTCAGTTCCTACCTGTGGTTTCAACTTGCACCATTTCTATTCTATTTCTGTCCTTAACCTGCTCTCTGCATCACAAGCTTTCATATTACCCCAACTCATTCATTTTCTTATTGTTTAGCTGTGTTGTAGAAGATGTTACTGAGAAGTTCCTCCGCACCAATTCTAACTTCATTGGTGCTCTATTCCAAAGACTCCTCCTCCGAACCAGAACACATTTTTCAGCTACCTAAAACGACATCAGCTTTATGTCTAAGCCAAATCTTGGCAGAGATAGACCATAAAAACTCACCTAGTCCTAAGAGAAAAAATCGTGTGCCTCTTGGTAATAATGTTCTCAAAAATCAACAGTGTATAAAAATCAAAGAAAGAGATGAAGTGAAAAATTCACAACAAAAGACTTATATGAAATCGCAACTTTCAATTCAAGAACTGTTTTCAAGTTTGGATTTAGATAAGGGAGTCATGGATCATGAAGAGTCTTGTGCGGGAAAGAGAGGTAGTGGCTTGCAGACTTCGGAGATGGGTAGTGGAATGGGGAGTGATGGTGGTTGGATTTGTGGTGGTTGTAATGGCAGTGGAAAAGGTTCAAATGGTGGACATGGAAGAGGATGGAGTTTCCATGAGGGAAATGATCGTGGTAGAAATAGGACAGATGCTTATTACCAGAACATGATTGAGGCAAACCCCAGTGATGCTCTTTTGCTGGGAAATTATGCTAAGTTTTTGCAAGAGGTAATTTAATTTGTTTGAGTGTCTGCTTGAGCTTGGTCATGCTTTATTTCTCTTAAGATTGTGGGAAAAACAGAAAATGATAATAAATTATCCATATAACAAAATCATCAAACTGGCTAGATTGTGTCCTCTGTTGATATATAGAAATGCTAGGAAAACTGTATGCTTCATGGATCTATCAATTTATCCGTTTATAGTTTTGATATTGTATATGCAAATAGGTTTGTGAAGACTATCCTAAAGCAAAAGAGTATCTCGAAAGGGCTATTTTGGCTAATCCTGATGATGGTCATATTCTCTCCCGCTATGCTGAGTTAATATGGCAAACAGAGAAGGATGCTGATCGAGCTGAAGGATATTTTGATCAAGCCATTAGAAGTGACCCAGATGATTGGTAAAATATATAATCCACAGTTCCACGTTGATTATGGCTTTTGTTCTTTCTATATGTTTTTCTAATTGTTTACAAATGTGTTAATCTGTTTCTTGGTAGAAGAACATGAAGTTTATATAGTCTATAGACTTAAACGAATGTTGTAACTGATAATCTCTTGATATTCTGATATGCAAGAAAACTGAACATTCTGTTTTATATTCAATCTTTCTCAGTTTCCCAGATGAAAAAAATGTTTTGCCTTTTCTTGTTCATAAAACTAATGTATAAATCTTAATTGTTGGTAGCTATGTGGTAGCTTCATATGCTAAATTCCTTTGGGATGCCGAAGAAGACGAGGAAGATAAAGACTGCCAAAGTAAATCGGATCACACATATCCAACTGATCTCTTTCATGAAACTAACCATTACCTTCATATAACTGCAGCCCCAAAAGCCTTACCACTGTTTCTCAGGTGAAGATTAACTTGCATGGCCAAAAAGTATGTAGCCTCAAACAGTAAGTGGTTACTGGGAATGGTTGGTGTAATAGAAATGACTTGCGACCTGTGAATAGCTTAGATCATAAGAAGAGAAAGCAGCTTTTGGTGCCTCTTGTGCTTATAAGTAATAAGGCTTCCACCAAATGTATCTTTTGAGAATGTAATGTTTTGCATGCAGACACCAAGGATTAAAGTGGTGCAACCCTATATATATGTTCATTCCACTCTTCAAGTGCTTCGACCCATGAAATTTATAACCTCAAAAGGCTATTTCAAATAGCTAGAGTGGTGGTTTAGCATGTAGTTCTGCATAAACTTTTGCGACCATATGCATGGTTTTCATTTTTTCATTCTCTCAACCTTCAAACATTGAGACATTGCAATATTAAAATTTAGGTGAAATTAAGAAAAAATCATGCTAGTTCAACTTGCTCATTCGTTTAACACCAGAGGAAACGATAAAGAAAAAGACTAGAGAGCATCAGCATGGAGCCATAGACAACAACAACAGCAATTGTAGCTGTGAATAAATATTCCAACAGATGAGAATGGGGTTTGAATTACATAAACCAATTGTTCCAAATGTACTTGTAAGGCCTTGAAAGGTGAAACAAATGGCTCTTTTGTCAGCTATCATATGTATGGGTTTCTTGTCTTCTTCACATGTCAGAGTCAGACATAAGGTGGTAAGTGCTTGAGAGTTCGTCTTTTTCAAAGTGTTTGTCATTGTTTGTGGTGCAGTTTATGGGAAATATGGTCGCTATAATTCACCCACAACTTGTTTAATTCAATCTATGAACGATGGCACATTGCTCAAATTGGAAAAGTCTGGATTCTTTCAGTATACTAATCATTAATTTCGTTTTTGTCTTATGTTTAAACATGGTTCTTGCTTATCTTCTCCTTCGTAATCACACATCTTTAAAATTTTGAAGAGTTGTTATTTAGTACCCAAAATAATTGTAAAACTTTGCTTCATAACTAATTTAACCGTTGAGAGAATGGCTATGTTATGTGTGTTTTCTCAATTTAATAGTCAAAATCAAATAGTTCGTATTAATATAAAAGATTTTGAAGGATGTTTAATGCTTGGACGTATCAATTACACAAACTCTTAATATTCCTTGTGAAGTTTAAATTTTTTTGAAAACATATTAAAAGATTTCATGTGTTTAATAACTATTTACTAATAAAATCATCTAATATATTTCTTTTTTTGAAAATTCATATAAAATAAATTACCAAAATTTTATAAAAAATATTGCTGTGTGGTGTCAGTGTGTGATGTTAAGATAGTGGCATAAATTAATATAGATCTCATAATATACGTTTTTTTTAATCTGTACCATAGTAGATAAAATATGGAATTTGTTAATATATTTTCATTCGAAATCGACTCATGAAAAATGTCGGTAGATTGATCAATATATTATTTCATTTGGGTACTTTATTTATTTTATCAAATCTCAACTTGCAAGTTATTTCGAAAAGATGGTCCCACAATTCTATAACAAGTTTTACATTTTTAAACAATTCAAAATACTTGAGCACTCTCTTTCAAAATTGGCGTTGTAATGACAATCCTAGACATACATCTAATGGAGGAATTTAATGAGATTTCATGAAAAAATATTTAGGATTTTTTCTCCATATATTGATGTTATTAATGTTTTTTTAAGAGAAGTTTAAGAGAAAATTAATGTTGTAATAAGTGTCTTTTTCGGGAGAAGTTTAAAGAAAATTAATGTTGTAATAAATGTCATGAAACTTATAAAAAAATTTGGTTGGAGTTCTCTTGTAGTATTAGTTACATTTATAGATTATATAATCTGCCCTTTAAAATTCTATGTAAAATAGAGAAAAAATAAATCTAATTATTAAATCTTTTATTATTTTTACCATGACTATTACTAATGGTAAAAGATAAAAAGAGAAAAAGAAAATTGTATTTGATCGAAATAAAAAAAATGTTTTGTTAAAAATTTTCACCACAAATTCCTATATATTTATTTTAGAAAATCATATTTCAACTATTCCATACATATTTAAAATAGGATTAACTACTACCATAAGTTTATATTTAAATTTAGTGAAAGTAGATATAAACAAAGGTTTTGTTAAGATATTTGTTACTTAAAATCGTGAAGGAAGATTAATGAGACACAATTGTTTATGATAAACATGATCTCATACAAAGTGTAAGTCTAACTCAAAGTGTGTAAAATGAAAGTGCATGATGGGATTTGGTGCAAGCAATATGACTTCCTGATTATCTAAGTAAAGCGTTAGAGTAGGATTTTTTAGGTGAAGCTCAGTGAGTTTATTTAGATCATATCAACAAGTGCAACAACAATACTTTTGTATTATACTTCCGTAGTACTTCTAGAGAACACCTTTTGTTTGTTGGAGTCCCAAGGCACAATGTTTGAACCAAGATAAATGCAGTAACCAGTTGTGAACTTTCGATCATCATCGTCTATTACCCAATTTGAATCACTGAAATCAATGACAAAAAGATTTTATGTAGGATGAAGAATAATGCCATGGTTGATTGTGTCTGTTAGATAGCATAGAATTCTCTTAATTGTATTTTAGTGATGATCTTGTGGATCATGCATGTATTGGCAAACCTTATTGATTGAGTATGCAATATCATGCCTAATGACAGGAAGATATTGAAGTGCTCCAACAGATGAGTGGTAAAAAGAAGGATGAAAGACAATGGTCAAGCAAAGAGAAGAAACTATAGGTGTGGGCTGAGGATTGACTTCAGTCATTTGAATCTTATGTAGCAGGTCCTGAATATACTTGGATTGAGAAAAATGCATATTTTCACTACTTGTCCAAGTTACCTCTACTCTAAGAAAGTAGTGTAACAATCCTAGATCTTTCAAAGCAAAGTTAGTATGTAAGATAATGATCAAATTATTAATAATAGAGGAGGTACTACTAGTTATGAAGATATCATCAACATAGATAAGGACAAAAAGAGTTGACGTTGAAAAGAATCTTACAAATAGAGAAATATCACTTTTGATTGAACAAAAACCAAGTTGATTAAGTGTGGAACTTAGCTTTCAAAACCAAGATCGAGGTGTTTGTTTTAAACCATATATAGCTTTGTTGAGTTTACATACAAGATTTGAGTGGTAAAACTTGGTGGCTCCATGTAGACAATTTCTTCAAGCTCACCATGTAGAGAGGCATTGTTTGTACCTATTTGGTGGATTGACCACTTGTAATATAAGACAATAGTGAGAATAATCTAAATTGTACCATGTTTAATTACAAGACTGAGTGTTTCCTTGTAATTAAAATCATAGGTTTGAGCGAAACCTTTAACTATAAGGTGTGCCTTGTGTCTTAGGAAAGTCCATTTTGTATTGAATTTGTTCCAAAAAATTCACTTACAACCAACAAATTTGGCACCTGGAGGAGGAGACACAAGGGTACAAGTGTTATTGTGCACTAACACATTGCACTCATTCTTCATAGCCTGAAGCTAATCTAGTGTTGACAAAACAACTTTAACAATTTGTGGTTTAAAGAATGTAGAGTCAATAGTAGTATGGAAAATTTTGGGCTTGAAAATTCTAACTTTTGATCGGGTAACCATGTTGATAAGATTCCAAATAGAATTGACATATAAATATTTAGGGTTTGGAATCAATTAAGAACATAAATTTAGGAATTGAGAGTTGTTAGATATTGTTTAGATATTATTTGATATTGTTAACCACAATATCAAACAATATCTTCTGTTTATTTTGTTATTTTCAGTTACTCTTTTAGTTGCATCTCTCTATTATAAATAGATTACCCTATGTGTGATTTATACACAAGGGAGATTAATCTCAAACTCTATTTCTTTTATATTCAACATGGTATCTAGATCTTAAGGTTATTTTGAAATTTTTTCGCATTTAACCACTGTTGGAGCCGCCACCACCGCTGCTATCGCTGTCGTTTAAACTGATCTTCCACATCAGAAAAGAGTTATTTTTGTTATTGGATATTATTTGGTAGTGTGAAAGTGCATGTCTAGGAAGGTTCTGACAAGAAAAGACTTGGTATTTAAGCGTGTCCATTAATGACCCACCTCTCTTTCCTAGAAACTTACCTGGTGTACTGGTTCACGTCGCTGTCATTGTCGTCATTGTCGTCGTCGCCTCCGCCCTTTATGATTTCTTCCACTCCTTCTAGTACTTCCAATTCTGTCAGTACTGCGTCTGATCGTTCCATCTACACTAACTATGTTAATGTGCACTTATCCATTGACAAGTTAACTGGCTCTAATTATGCCACATGGTCATCAGACGTCAGATTATGACTTAAGAGTCAGAAGTATCTTGATCATCTTGTCCCGAAAGCACCTACTCTCACTCATGGTGAGGAAAACCGTTGAGACATAATTACTCTCACTCCTGGTGAGGAAGACCGTTGGGACATCATTGATGCTCAATTATGTGTGGTTCTCAAGGGTACTCTTGATCCTTCGTTAAAACAAATTTTTCGTTCTTACAAAACATGTGCCAAAATCTGGGAACATGCCAAGTTATTATACACCAATGATACTCAACGTCTCTATGATGTCTGTTCTAAATTTGTAAATGTTATTGCCGCTAAATATCAAGATTCTATGACTGATTATATGGGAACAATCCATGTTTTTTTCCATGAGTTCAATGAGTTATTGGCTCCTTCCCCCGACCCTGCCACCGAGATAACACAACGATCAAAGTTTTTCATGCTAGGGGCATTACACGGACTTGTTGATCAATATTCACATATTCGTGATCAGATTTTGGGTTCTCCAGCTATCCCCACCTTGACTTCGACCTGCTCCACTCTTTTGTGTGTACCAACAAAACCCAACCCTGACACACTTGTTTCTGTTAATGATTCTTCTGCATTGGTATTTCACCGTGTTGCCCTCGCAAATAGGGAAAAAGGCATCCTAAGTGTGAACATTGTGGC